TTTCCCCTTCAATCTTCCTTCCTTTCTTCTCCCTTCAATCTCCTTCCTTCTCCATCTCCTTCCTTTCCCCTTCAATCTTCCTTCCTTCCTTCCATCCATCTCCATCCCTTCCCCTTCAATCTCTCTTTCTTTCCTTCCTTCCTTCCCCCTTCAGTCTCCTTCCTTCTCCATCTCTTTCCTTTTTCCTTCAATCTTCCTTCCTTCCTTCCATCTCCATCTCCATCCCTTCCCCTTCAATCTCTCTCCTTCCTTCCTTCCTTCCTTCCTTCCTTCCTTCCTTCCTTCCTTCCTTCCTTCCTTCCTTCCTTCCTTTCCCCTTCAATCTCCTTCCTTCTCCATCTCCTTTCTTTCCCCTTCAATCTTCCTTCCTTCCTTCCCCTTTCCTCCCTCCCAACATTTTTGAGCAAGGAAGAGTAAGCTTCTCCAGCGAGCATTGCTATATTGTTTTTGTGATTAATCACTATGCTTTAATTATGTTCAACTCATAACAATGAAAATACACCCTGCGTATCAGATATTTACATAATGATTCATAACAGTAGCAAAATTACAGTTATGAGTAGCAACGAAAATAATTTTATATTTGGGGGTCACCACAACATGAGGAACTGTATTAAAGGGACATGGCATTAGGAAGGTTGAGAACCACTGATCTAGGACCAGTATTGTATACAAGTTGTACACTTCTACTTTTCCCCCTCTAATCCAAAAATATTCTATTTTTCCATTTAGTGATACCTGGGCTTAAGATATCATCTTTTAGCACATGTATAGTATCTGAAAATTACACTTTGCAAATACATCTCTCTTTGCTATAGTCTTTCTTCATTTCAGCAAGAATCTCTGTTTCCCTTTCTGCCTTCTTCTATAGCTGAACACTGTAAAAATCATTTGAATCATTTTTTTATATGTTCTCTATTTTCCCCAAAACACTCTGAATTTCTTGCCTCTGTCTTGTGCCCTATGCCCAGACTAGGCTTAAAAATGAAATAAATGAAAAAAATATGAATAAAGAATCTTTGACCACTTTAATTAAAGGACCTGGCATATGAATTAATAATGATTTTTTTCATTTCACTTCTATTCAGTCCGTAAGAAACCATCTTAGCTGTTTCAACATTTATCCATCTAGCTGGTATCTTCTACTTGGATTTGGTAATAGATCTTCATAGAATAGGGAATGTTCCTAAATCTAATATAACCTGAAAATGCAAGGAATTAATCCTGAGACTTTATTTTTTTAATAAAGCAGGTAACATTTTTATTGGCACTACAACAGACTATCAATATATGTTTTCCTTAAAGAATATATAAGAATATAATTGATAGTATGTAGAAATGTCATAAGAAAAATAAAAAATTAAGGCGGCCAATAGATGAATGAAAGTACTAATGAATTCAATGGATTTAAATTCAATATGTTTTAATATGATGGTGTTCAGGAGCAGAGTGCTGGTCAGATCAGTGTTTTCCAATTTAATGACTGACACTCAAATCAAGTGTGCCTTGTATCATTGGGATTGTAAATCTTCTGTAACCACAAAGGGAGTCTCTGACCATGTCCCCCTGATGCACTCAACATGGTTTAACATGTTTTCATCCTGGAAATGCATGCAAGATGACATCGTTAAATCCAACTGGCTATTCCCTGCCTCTTCTGCCAATACTTTTTTTTAAAAAAAGTTTCTGGCAACACAAAAAACAAAAAAGACATGCCATTGCCCAATTAGAGTCAGAGCCACACATATGGAGTGAGTCCTTCCTTCTTAACTTTTTGAATCTTACGTTTACTGTGCACATATCTGGGAGGGGTGAAAACAAAGTGAAGAGCAGAGATACCTTCAGGGAGAATCTGCTTCATGTTTTTACCTGCACTAGATTGAGATCTCATACAGATTTAAGCAACACATTAGAGTGGGGTTTACTAAGTTGTGCTTGTAGGTTATAACTGAGACACTCTACAGTAGCACATATTCAAAGGATCCACTAAATGAAACAATTTCATGCTTAACTTGTGTATGAACATTGTCGCTGTCTCCCATAACCTAACAAATGAAATACCTGGATATTCATACACATTTTCATAGTAAAGATTTCATAAATTTATTTGTGGAAGACATATATATATATATATATATATATATATATATATATATATATATATATATATATATATATATATATATATATATATATATCCAGCATTTATTGAATCATCCCTCTGGCTTATTTATCTTCAATGGACATTACTTTGTTGACACTGAACTTTTATTGAATGAGCCACCATTTTATTGACCAATAGTGTCTGTTTGAGGAGATCAAGAAAGCAGAACAAACATGATCAAATTCATCAACAGTGTCTGTTTGAGGAGAACAAGAACAAAATGATCAAATTCATTCCATTTTCATCTATGTTGTTTTCTGCCTGCAGTTGAGATTTATAGGGCTTTGTTTTAAAATTCTGCATCATTTAATCTGCACAGCACTTCACAAGCTATTATTGATCACTTTTGAATAAAATATACTGATGACAAAATGTTTCTGCTTTCTAAAAGCTCATAAAGACATTATGACTGCTTTTATTTGGCAGCATATTATAGTTGCTAAAGGACAATGCCGATGTTTTCATTCATCCGACAACATTACATTTAAAAACACATACATTTGGCACAGCTATCTAACACTTATCAAAGTAATTTCTGCTCCCTATGCTGATGTTAATATCCATTCAGCATGAGGCTTGATGGAATTTTATGTTAAGCTTTGAAGATATTGTTTGATCTCTTTTCATCTTCTGTTTTCTGCATACAAAACAGTAAAGCATATTTTACTTTTTCTTTTTACCTTCTTACCTTTAACTTAGGTGACTTCATGAATTTACATTTAAAATATGAATAACATAACTTTTACTACTGTAGTAACAACAACAGATGGTAACAAATACTTGTGTCATGATACAGTCAAATATGAAGAGATCTTAAGAAAAACTGCTCACAGGTTATACCCTATTAATTTCAAGAAAGACACTGAATAATATCATACTGTTGACAACAGCTTTAATTCATGCCTCAGGTACAAACCTATGAAAAGCGAATATTAAACCAGGAAGGGTAGCTATTGTGCTTTGACTAGCTGATAATAAATAATATAGCAATATAATACAACAAAGATATACCTATTGTAAAGCCATAGTGCCTTTTTTGCATAATTATAATTATTTGATCAGAGCAAACCTGTATTATAGGTTGAAATATTAATTTCTAAGCATAAACCTTGGTGGTTAAAAGTTTCAGAAGAGCCGGTTAGGATCTGATGTTTGATTCATAAAATCCAGAAGGTAGTGCAAGACCTAAAAATATTAGTATTGTTCCCTGTAAGATCCAATAAATAGGCACTAATTATTTGAAAACATGTTTTTTTCAGAAAAACAAACACAAAGTACACAAATGTAATAAGAAATGAACAAACTGTAACATTCGTTCAAGGGAATAGGAAAACTATTTGTATAGTCATTCAGTGTATGGTTCAAAACTAAAGAGATTATTGCTGCACATAGCTAGCATTAATTCACATTCTTTTAGCTATATCAGAAATTATTCTCTAATGGACATGTTACACAAATCTAGAGTTTCGGGTTCATTAAGAAGCTTTTTCTTCATAACTACTGTCAATGCATCAACCATTTTTTATAACCCTCAATCATTTTTTTTAATTCTATGAAGTAAATTTGAATAAAGGAATAAAGTATACTGTGGCAATATGAGTTTTAAAGGGTAATGACCAATGTAGTTATTATTAAAGCTTCTAAACTTGTTACTGAAACACTAGAGATTTTATGGACAGCTGCCAAATCATATAATTGATTAGCATGCTTTGTAATCATGGTACCTTAATGTGCTTCAATATGCAAAGAGAATCACAGAATAATTTTTCAACTTTCAACCCATTCACATTATATGCCATATAATAAATATTTTTACAAGAATGATAAAAGGCAAGCTGCTAGGTGCATGCATGCAAAGTTTCCTTCATTTTAAGAAGTCAAGACGTTTTTTAAAAAAATACACACTTGGAGTGTGATAAACAGGATTTTTTTGTTTACCGAACTGTTCTGTTTACCCACATCACCAAACCGCTTGACCATTTTATAATGAAATTTTAAATGAGCACATTGCCCTTGAAACTGAATCAACCAATTGCAAGTACTGTAATGGTATTACATCAAAGTTGCTTCTACTCTAAACTACAAATGCAACTTGGAAATGGTTTGACTCAGAAACACTGAGAACACTGAATAAAGCTGAAAATCGCCATCCTGTCCTACCCTAATCAATGCAGATTATGAAGAAAACCAAAGCCTTTCATTCCAGTCATGGGGGAATGAACATGGAAGGGGGGGGGGAACCAAAAAATTGATAGAACCTGCTTGTTTCAGTCTTGCTAAATTCCTATGGGGAGCAGCAAAGCTGACAAGGCACTTTGCTCTTGAAGGTTCTGCTGGTTATATTCAGCCCACTGAAGTGGGGGCTGAAACAGAGGTTTCCTCCAATCAGAAGCCTTTCAAACTAGTTTTATAATCACTCAGCTAATAAAAAAGAACTGCAAATAAATCAATTCAGATCTCAAGACTGGCATTCAGAGCTGTGCAGAATTCTTGTGCGGAGGTATCCAACCTTCATGACAAATTAAAAGGCCAATGCTTGATTTGTTTACTAAAAAGGGAAAAAATACAGTCTATCAATCCACTTAAAGAATGCTACAGTAATTTTAATTACTGGAAAATCATAGAACTGCTCCAGTGGTTATGTAATGTGTTAAATAAGCTGTATACATAAGAAGTAATAAATGCTGGTGTTAATTTCACAGCTTCCCTGGAGAATAAAAGAGAAGAAAGTGCCAAATATATCTTAGTTTATATACTATAGTAAATTCTTACTACATTGCCTTGAGCCCCTCTATACTGAAGGATTTGAAGACACGGCATTGCTAGGATCACTCACCATTCTTATTCTTAAAGATGTTTAAAATAGGGAGAATCTGCCGATAATAGGGCACTAAAGCTTCCCCCACCATATCAGCTGACACCACCAGGTGCTGAAGGACTTTGAGCGTGATGCAGATGACCTGTCGGTTTCGAAGGTTCAGCGCATCTTGGATGAAGGAAAAGAGACAAGCAGAAAACAGAAGAATTAATTTCAAGAACGTATTGGGAAGGGGAGAAATTCTCTAATAGACAAATTTAATTAAACTGTACTCTGTAGGGGATTGTAAGTGGGCCTTTATTAGCCTGGCTTTGAAGGAACCAAGAGATGGATTGCAGTCCCAATGTTATAAAACACTGCCTTGTCTGAGTGTTATTTGTTCCCACAATTTGTGCTGACTCTTCAGTAACCCCAAGAATGAAGTTTATTATTCCTTCTTGCTGCCTGCCTTACTGGTTCCTGCCACCCCCACCCCACCCCACCCCCAGAAAGAGAAGAAAGAAAAAGGAGGGGGGAAACATATCACCAGTAGCAGTGGGACTAAGGGAATTGAAAAGGCAAAAGGATGAAGGTTGACAGGACAGTCTACTCTAACAATTAGCCTGTTTATTTTTGCTTGCTTAGAAATCATTTTATTCTTTTCAATTAACAATTGGTACTATTCGGAGAAAAGAACAATGATAGAAATGTTTACAAAGAAAATGTTTACAAAAAATAAACTTTATTTTTTTTTTAAAAAAAAATCTAACTGATTAAAAAAAAGGATTCTATCCTGCCTTCTTGAGAATTTTCTGTGTAGTGTCAAGCAGCTGGAATTTGCTACTGAAATCAATAACACCTTTTGTCCTGTTCCATTTCAGGTTTCATTCAAAACAAAATAATGTTGTACTCTCCTTTATATTTCAAAATTATACTTTCAAATGTGAATTTAAATTAAAATTTCTTCATGCTCCTGCTCCCCACTCCAAAGTGATATAGTAAGGGAGTAAAGGTCACCAGCTGTAGATTGTTATGAAAAGCTCCATTACAGAGAACAGTTGCACAGTTGCGAAGTGCAAAGCCCCCAACTAACAAACAAAAACTTTCACCACATTCTATCTATTACAGATGTCAAGTTCCAAAAGGAAACTAGAAGGGGGAAATAATGCAAAAATGGATAAGCATGAATATTGCGAATATAGAATGGGATGGAAAGGAAGAACTGCCAAGTTTCCTCCAGCTCCCAGGCTCCCCTTTTGCTTGTTCTTCACTCTCATCCTTCTTCCTTTTTTACCTCTTCTTCTCTTGCAAAACAGTAGCAAGCCTAGCTAAGCAATCTCTTTCTCTGCACAATTTTATTCACTTGCCCGAGTTTTTCCCTCTGCCAGGATTCCATTCCCATATTCAGCAATCAGTTAAACAGGCTGACAAAACCCCAGCGAAGCTGCAACTGCGGGAGTTCTCTTCTGATTATTTAACAACCATCCTACTACATGCAGCCTGTTTATTTGTACATATCTGAAGATTTTTGAGTGCCTCCTCCCAATTAGTTCAGCAAAAAAGTCTGGACTAACAACTTCTCAATTACCCCTGGCTTTAAAAATGATATAAATGCAGTTTTCCATGTTGGAAAACATGCCATGGTTTCGGAAAAACACAGAGTTTAGGAAATGGGAAGAGGAGTTGCCCTTTACCCAATTTCCCTTAAATTATGGGTTCTCAATGATTTCATTCAAACCCATCATTTTGGAGAGAGGCTAGAGATCATTAGTTAAAGGAACAGGACTATGCTTCTTGCCAATAGTCCCAATAGGAAACCTCTAGATCTCCATTATGGAAAACTAGAAAGCTCTAAGCAGTTTGGTGGATGCAATACTTAATTCAAATACACAATGTGAAATATTTTCTGTAGTGTTGCCTCTTGTATAATATTGAAAGGTTAATGTAGCCTTTGGCTCAAACACAATTGTGCACTGCTGCATTAAATTAATTCAGAGACATTAAGAAAATATTTTAAAGACGTTGAATTCTTTGGCTCACCCATTTCTTTATATCCAATCTCTTTAAAATAACTGTTTTTCTCCCTTTCAGTTCAACTGAGTTTTTACCCTGTTGCAGGAGAAATATTTCAAAACATGGCGCAGGTTAACAGTCAGCTATTTGCAATAAAGCTGGTTCATTTCTAACTCAATAAGTAAGTATTGTGCTTGTTGAAAATGCAATAAAGCTATATTTCCTATATTGCACTACTTGAAATTGTGATGAAGCTCCGTTTCCTTAGACAGTATTAAAGTGCAGTGTAATACCTTCTATTACTGTGACTACTCGGATTTATTTCCAGCAACACTGAAAATGAATGAAATGCGCATTTTGTTATGTTTTCTTTAAAAAAAAACAACAGCAATGACATCTATGAACTGGAGAAGCCGGCAATTTTAAATCATGGCTTCCCACTGTTACTGCGTGGTAGGGAAAGAAGCTCACAGAATATCTAGCTACATGAATGAGAAGCACATCTCCCCCTTCCTGCATTTCTTGGATGTAAGTTTTATCCAGCCAAATTGCTGTATAGCATTCTTCTAAGACAGCCTTGGAATCTCTCCCATGGCTGACGCAGATTCAGAATCTCTAAAGAGCATCAGTTAATCAAGCAGCAGCATTAATATAGGAAGACAAGTTAAAACCAATCTCCTAGACAGGAGCTTCATCAGATACCATTTTGTTTGTTTTTATGCTCTTAAATTTACTCTGTGAATTGTTTTATCAGATACTTTACAGGCAATTGTTGGGCAGAAAGAGAAAGAGAAAATATACATTTTCCATTAAAACAAAAAAGACATTAAAATAGAACATATTGTCACAGATAAAAAATTCTTATATGTGAGAGATTATTTTAAATACTCCCTGGAACTGATCATTCCAGAAAATTCCAACAACCTGACTTAAGCTCAATTATAGCTAATGATCACAGAATGAGTACATCTGGTTCCTTGTCCTGGTCAAGCAACAAGGTCACTTCTGCACCACTGATGGCTATGTAGTTGAAATTATGCCCATCTGCAAGCTGGAAACCCCTACTGTAGGTGCCAGATCATTAAAATTTGTAGCTTGGGTTGAGACTAAAGGAGTACAGTAATGATTAATTTGGAAGAGGAGCCAAAAAACAGATGTCATAGAGGGACTGGAAAGATCTTTCTACTTCAGTGCTAACATTTGGATAAGCCCACATTTTTATGCCATCTTTAATATTTGCATGAATTTTACACCTACACTGCCCTTTGAATTTGAATGTATCTCTTTTATGTATTCTAGTTGGTGCTCCTCTCTATCAAATGTAATTAAAGAAGTGCTTAATATTTTATATTATAGTGACAAGTATGCATAGTACTTTAATTCCCCTTTTTAATAAATTATCAAAAAAGAAAACACATTTATATAAGTCATGTGTCTGAGAAATTGTGTAAACCTGTGTGATTTAGTCTAACAATGGAACAATAGGCAAGAAATGTTACCTTTTTTTGGTCAAATTTTGCTATTTTGTTCTTCACAAAGCCTTGTTACTGCTGCATGTTCCATAACTGAAATATTGTGACTGGGTTGAATTAACTTGTAATAGCTTTACATTGAGTAAAGCATCTATTGAGAACTAGAGCCTCAGGTAGTATGTGTGTTCCTTAATCTTGAGTCCTCTACCAGAGGCCTGGGAATTTGAGGGTTTTGTGCAGGATCGTAGCTGTTCCTAGCACTGCATTCTTCCTGGATAGAGAGCTCTGATGTTATTCCTGGGATCTGTTGGAGCCTCTCTCCCACTTTAGACGTCACAGCCCCAATTGCTTATGCCACCAGTGCTTTGGCCTTTTCCTCCAACACCCTCCTCTCTTCCACTACTAGGCCTTGGTATTTCTCCAAAATGCCCAGATAGATAAAATTCTCGAGTTATCCTATGATCTTGAATCTTCCAGTTACTTTTTTCCCCCTCAGAATTTTAGTTTCATCACAGTTCATTTGTAGTTGGCTACCTTGACAATACTTGACTAATTGTTCAAGTTGGTATTTCAAATCTTATTTGTTACATGGAAGAAAGAACAATATCATTTGGGCAAAGCAAAGTACACATTTTCCTTTTGGTTAAACATGGGCAATGGCTATCAACCTGAAGTAATGCAGTTTCCAAATCATTAATCTAGATGTTAGACAACATGGGGGAACCTACTGCATTGTCCTGCACCTTTGCCTCATTGTTACTCGCCTGTGAGCAAATATTTTCTTATACTGTACAATTAACATGCATTATATTGTGTTGATATAAAGCCTATATCATAAACACAAGATACCTGTCATGAAACTAATCCTTTAACTGAACCCCAAATTTGGTTCTATTTACAGAATCAAAAAGTGGCCTTAAAATCTAAAAAAGTGAATAAATGATTTGACTTTTAGGAAAACAAAGTATTTTGCCATTAGGTAAATTAATACAAAATATTGGTCGGTTCTTGAACTGAGGTATACTAAAAACGCATTTAACGAAGTACATGAACCAAAAGAAAATAAAAAGAATTTAAATACAGAGAAATTAATGACGTTAAACCATTTTTATGTTGTGTGACTTATACCCAGTAGCAAAGACACTAGAGTCAGGAGTAGGATTTTCTGCCACTTATTTTACTGAGACATCCAGAAGAACTAATCTTAGTGAGTCTACAGTAATTCCAGCATATACAGGCAGCCCAAGATAAACAAACAACAAAAACTAGATTGCTCTCATGCTTAATTAACCAATAATAAAAATAATAATCCAATGCACTGCACATCAGAAATATTACAATTAGCACCATAAATTTCAAAATATTGTTTCTAAATCAGGAATATATTACAAAGTGGGGGTTTTTTAAAAAAAATCCAAGGCAAAAGTTTATAGTCTGTACAAACTAGCATTTATCAAAAACTCCAGATACTCTGCTATAGGCCTGATAAGCTGCCTAATTAAATCACCAAGTTATTTATCAGGTATGTTATCTAAACAAGGCAACAAGCAGTTCTGACAATCATTTTTCATGTCAGTAGAATCATAAAAGGGCTATGCTAGGGAGAAATTATGGCCATGCCGGCTGAGACAATGAGTGTTATTGTTAAAGATATCTACAGGCCCCAGACTGGGGAAGTTGAGCTCTCCTGGTAGCCCAGACTATTGTAAAAGTTTCTTGAGTTTTGCTTCTGAAGTGTCAATAGATGGATTTTGTGGAGGCCTGTTCAAAGCACTCTCCTCTTAATAAGATTTCCCACTGGTGATCTGCGCAGCAGGCTTGTTCTAGCACAGACGTCCCCAACATTTTGGACACCAGGGACTGGTTACTTGGAGAGAGATTTTTCTGCAGGCCAGAGGGGGTGTGGTTTTGTGTGCTGCCTGCATCCCACAGATGGGGCTTTCCTTGTTTGTGCAGCCCAGTTGCTGGCATGCTGCGGCCCAGTATTGGTCCACGTACCAGGGATTGGGGACCCCTGTTCTAGCAGGCTCTTGCCTTACTGCCCTCTCCAGCTTCAGGTTTTCTGGGCTTAACACCCACATGTGTGCATAGTAGGTCTCTCAATAGAGAGAAGGGAATGGACTGTGCTGTCTTGAAACAAAAACATCAGCCCACTTCTGTGCACCTACAACAAGCAAACAGGATGAGGCAGCCTCACTGCAGCCACTGCAGTTCCATTTCAGCCTAGTTAGCTATTCCTAAATTCATTGCCTTGGCTGCGGTAGCAGAGACTAATCTGGCATTCTTAAGGATTCCTGCCAGAGGGAGCCCCATTGTGTGGTAAGATGCCAGCAGGTTGCCCTTATGGGAGAGAATAGATTATGCCATGGTTTTCCCCTTTCAGAGCCCTAATATCCCAGGTACCTATTTGATTGGCCGTGCATTTCTTTCTCTAACAGCAACCTTGGCTATTATCAAAAGTGTAGCAGAGCATTGTAGTAACTTGTTCACAAGAGGCAGACCAAACCAGCCAGGTACCATTCTAAATTTGCCTATTTAAATTATAAGATTGAGAAATTGTCTTTGGAGAGAGGCTCTGTGCTTGTGCGTAGAAAATGGGGTGATCTATTAGCATTTATAAGAGCTGTGCAGACATAAGCACAACAATATGCTTCTTTTTAGGCCAAAATATTTTAAAATGTTTTAACCATTTTACAAATAGTCCTCAACTTAAGACCCTCTGTTTAGTGACTGTTTAAAGTTATGATGACACTGAAAAGGGTGACATGATGTGATATTGCACTTAGGACCATCAGTGTCCCTGTGGTCACGTGGTCAAAATTTGGGCCCATGGCAATTGGTGTGTATTTATCATGGTTGTAGATGCCGAGGGCCACGTGATCACCATTTGCAACCTTGCCAGCCAGCTTCCAAAAAGCAAAGTCAATGGGGTAAGCCAGATTCATTTAAAAACTATGGCAAAAAAGGTAAAACCAGCACAACTCCCGTAATGACTGCATCACTTAATGAATATATCACTTAGCAACAGGAGTTCCAGTCCCAATTCTGGTCGTAGGTTGAGGACTACCTATACTGAATCCAAATCCTGGCGTATTTCAAAAGAAGGAAGGGTCATTTCACTATTTCCCCCCCAAATAATGCTTGTGTCCTGAAATTATAGTTTGATGTTCAAATATAATTGTGAACACCAAGATTTATCAATTTGCATTATATTGAAGAAGGAAAAAGGGAAGAGTATGCAAGAATAATGCATTCAGGCAGTGGCTCCTGCCTATATTAAGGAGCACAAAGATGTTTAACAGAAATAGAAAATGATCTCCTGATGCGGGAAAACCTGACTTAGAAAGAAAAACAACCAAGCTACTCAAAATAGCAAAATAAAAAAGTTGAGGTACTGCAAACTATTTCTTTTACAGTGTTCTCATATCTTAGTTTGAGGAATATAAAAACAAGAGTGAAAAGAAGTTTAACAACTTACTGTATATACTGTACCATGGTTGGCATTAGAGTAAGAAAAGAACAACTCAGGCAGCACAGTTCTTTGGGCCTTGGTGATGGCCTTACAACTGACTCAGGTTTATCATCTACTACAGTGGTTCTCAACCTTTCTAATGCCGTGACCCCATAATACAGTTCCCCATGTTGTGGTGACCCCCAACCATTTATATATCACCGGGTGCCAGGGGCGTGGCCAAAGAAAAGGGGGAAAAAATGGCGGACAGCCTTGTTTGGCGACCCCCGTGAAATGGTCGTTCGACCCCAAATGGGGTCCCGACCCAAAGGTTGAGAACCACTGATCTACTAGAAATACAAGGCCTGCCATATTTTATTCCTTAATTAGCAGCCTCCAAACCCTAGACCCTATTTCATTCTTCAGACTTACTTTTTATTGGAATAATGAGTTGAGGAATGACAGGAAGGATCTTGTTCCCACCATGCTCCAACATGTCATGGATGCCTTGCCGAGCAAAAAACTCATAAGGAAATTGCATTTCACATAATCCATCGAAAAACAGTGGCAAATAGTGGTGGTAGTCCAATTTTTCAATCTCCACCTGGAAATCCATGCAGAAAAAGAAGTAAGTCAAAATTTATCAACTATGTTGTCCTATTACAATAATCTAAAAGTGTCATTGCAATGTTCTATTGAGCAAGACAAATGTTAGCATCCATTAGGACAGTGTTTCCCAAACTTGACAATTTTAAGGCATGAGGACTTCAACTCCCAGAATTCCACAGCCAGCGTTGCTGGCTGTGGAATTCTGGGAGTTGAAGTCCACATGCCTTAAAATTGTCAAGTTTGGGAAACACTGCATTAGGATATCACTTGATGATGGTTATTCTCTTTCAAAGCAGAAAATAAAAAGGAAACTGATATTTGATGCTTGTATTTCCAAGTATTATTTGATATGCTGCATCCACTCATTCTGAAGGGATAGATCCTTCTGGTGAGGAATAAAGCTGAGTCTAATAAACAACCTACTATGGAAGACTATCAAAATGTATATTGTAAAGCTGAAACTGAAAATAGGAGTGGTTTCCAACATTATATATTACCAATAATAAAACTGGCATTTACATTAGTGCAGAATTTCTAATTATCCTAGTTATATATAACCATAATACATTTTTTTTTCATTACTGACATTACTAAAAACAAAAGATTAAACTGAATTTACTCAAATAGTTTTGAAAACAACATTAATCATATAAATCTGAATGAGTTCACTTTGATGTGATATATCAAGGAAATTATCTGATCAAAGGAATTATGTGATTAATTTATGATCAAAATGCATTTTATAGCATTCTACAGGAGAAAACAAACCCTGTGATGCTGATGATATAAAGTCAATCCCTTTATTTTGAAATGATGATGAGTACAAAAAGTGAGAAAAAACTTTATACTCTTATTGAACTTTCATGGCCTTTTAATGATAGTTTAAGCATTTCAATCATGAGGAACATCGTCCTACTAGTATTTATTCCATCATATTGTAAAATGTATTTTAAAGAATTCCGATGGGTAAGAATATCCCGATATTCTTCTTGATTATTTTTTATTTGAGACAACAAATCTTATTTTATACAACTCTGAGTGAAGTTAAATTTTGTTTTATATAATTTTCAGTTATTACTGTAGGAGATTACCAGGCTGAGTGCAAGGGCAGTGTCAAATGTATCATCAGTTTGGAATCACTGTGTCATCATAAGAGGCCTATGTCAACCCCTTCCTTGAAGTCTGTTGACTTTTATCTAGCGCCAATTTTCCTTGATCATTGATAGATGATGGAATAAACTCATAGTTTTTGAATTCAACCCTGGCTCCTGACTTCCTGTGCCTGACAATTACTATGTATTCTCATTTCCTAGGTAACCTTCATTAATGGAACTTATAATACATTTCTGTTTTATAAGGCTTAATTGACAGAGCACTATTTTTCTCGCAATATCATTAACTTTGGAACAGATTGAAAAAACCCAGCTGAGAGTTGTGTTTCTAAAGTACAGCTGTTTCAAAAACTTGCAGACATTGGCAACTCATGCTACTTTGGAAAAAAATTTAAAACGATATTGGTTTTCTTGAAGAATCTGCTGGGAGGGTGTGAAACCAACTGTTCTTACAGTGTTAAATGTCCTCCCACCACATGGAATCCAGAAATATTTTAGTATTACATTTCACAGCGTGAAACCCTTTGCTTCTCTGTTTATGACTTAGCTTTGAACAGTAACTATTATACAAAAGTTTATAGCTCAAGATAAATAGGATTTTTGTTGTTGTTTACATCCATAACATGCTTCTAAATTTTTCAGTTCCTCCCACAAAAGTATTCTGAATCAAAACTAAAAGTCTCTGGCTGCATTCAACTGAATTTATTGAGACATTGGTACTGACTCGTTGAGTGTATTTTTCCTTTTTCCTCTAAAAAAATATCAAGAATAACTATGAATCAAACACATGCAACACTATATGATCTACAAAAGCAAAAGGGTAATAGAGAATTGATTATTCCCTTTTTCCTGATTTTTTTTAACAACACATCAAGGTATTGCTCCAATGGAAAATATATTATTTTGATAAAGGTACACAAAGGACAGTATGCTATTATCTAGTCATTCTGTCCTTTACTTTTTTTGTTTTAACTAAAGAAAATGGACAACACACTTTGAAGTTTCCCTGAGTATGTTAGATTCAAAACACAATGACCTTTCACACTGTCTAGGAATGATTATATGTGACATATTGTGAACACCTGATCAAACAGCTGCTAAAATAAAGACTCAGATTATTAATATAATACAATGAAAGTACCAGATGATAATGGTTTTGGAACAGCTGCACTGAACTTTCTCGCTTTATTTATAGCTCAAGATCATGCAGGAAATTAAACTATATTATGAGTTGCTTTTGAACTATTTCAAGAGAGAGACATTCGGGCATGCTCTTTACCACTATCTTTAATAAACATATTATTCAGAGATAAAATTATTTCAAATAAACATAGCTATTTTGCAGCAACTCAAAACAGGAATGAGAAAGAAATATCTTTACCAACCCCAAAAGATGGAATATTCCAAATTATTACTATTATTTAATGCTTAAACATGGGCATTTTTCAGTGAGAGGAGCCCTATTAATATATCATCTATGTGTGTGTGGATAGACAGACAGACAGACACACACACACACACACACACACACACACATACCTATGATCATTGTAGCATCCCCATGATCAAACAACTTAGAACTAAGGAGAAACTTCCTGACAGTTAGAACAATTAATCAGTGGAACAGCCTGCCTCCAGAAGTGGTGAATGCTCCAACACTGGAAGTTTTTAAGAAGAAACTGAACAGCCATTTGTCCAAAATGGTATAGGGTTACCTGCCTGAGCAGGGGGTTGGACTTGATGACCTCCAAGGTCGCTTCCAACACCACCACCACCACCACCATCATCATCATCATCATCATCATCATTATTATTATTATTATTATTATTATTATTATTATTATCATCAAAATTTGGGTGCTTAGCAATTACATATATTTATGACACTTGCAGTGTCTTTGAGTCATGTGATCACCATCTGCAACCTTCCCACATGCAAAGCCAGTGGGGGAAGCTAAATTCATTTAATGACTGCCTGATTCCATGGGGCTAGGTTCACCACCAGAGAATGATGTTCTAGACAGCAGGGAGTACAGCAGAAAAGGTGTGTCTTCTGGGTCCTATCAGATGGACCTACTTATCAAACAGGACCTGGGGCATACCGCTTCTGCCGGATCTGCTGGGGGAGATAGATATAGCCAGGAAGAAGCAGTTCCCGAATTAACCTGGTCCCATGCCACGTAGGGCTTTAAACGTCAAAACCAGCACCTTGAATTGCACCTAGAAGCAAACTGGCAACCAATGCAACATATAAAGCTGAAGTGTAAATAGTATATCTACACTTATACTAGAGTGAGTTTTGAAAACATTTTACTAACTGCAGGAGAATCGAAGGAATTAAGACCTGAATTAAGAGGTTATTGTACCTTTGTTGCTGCTTCTTATTTTTATTTTTGGGACACATAGTTATCCAAACGTTAAAATAGCAGTTCTTTGTTGTTTGTTTGGTTGTTTGTTTTTCTATGGGATAATAAATAATCTTAACCCTTGTATAGCAAGAACAAGGAGATTCTTTATCCAGATAGCTGGTATCAATATATATATATATATATATATATATATATATATATATATATATATATATATATATATATATATATAAAGGGTTTCAGTAATTGGCTAAGATACTGAAATACAGGATCATACTGATTCCTTGGATAATAATGGAGAAAGATGAAATTTCAAGTTTTCAGGTTTCTCTTTGTTTTCCTAAGTTTGAGATCTGATTTTTTTTCCAGCTGATAACTGGAAAACTGGAGGGAGAAGAAGTTTGCTTATAAATACCATAGATGGCCAAGTCTCTGAAGATATACAAAACCTGTGGTAGAATCTTACAGTTAGTCTACCATTCTGGCTTGCTTTTTCATTGCTTTTCACTGGTATAATCTACTAAACTTAGAGTCTAAAGAGCAGCTTGATTAAGAATTATTTTCTGTGCAATAGTTCTGAAATTAGACAAGGGCTTGTGTATCTAAAGATTCTTTCATGCCTTCCTTAACACAATACCCAACCACAGGGATTTTGCGCAGGAACATTCAATGCTTCCTGCCTCCCCATCTGCAGTCTGATGCTGTACCATCCAGTAAATGTTCCATTACTTCAGCAGTTATTTCTGCAAAGTATGCTGACAGAATACATCATGATGTATGCACACATATATAAATAAAATAAAATATCAAAAAAAGATTTTCAACCTACTAAACACTATTGAAACAGCTGAAGTAATGTGTGGGAAGCACAGCAATGGACCTGCTTCTCGTGGAGACAGGGAAAAAAAACAACAGGGAAGGTGAGAGCAAGAAGCAAGAAACCAGAAATTCAGCTCAAGCCAGGGTAAATGATGCATCTCTCTCATGGGTCCTACAACCTTCTTTATGCAGCAGTAGTTGAATAAAGCAACACCTCTACATCAGCCAACCAGATGGAGCATTTTGCCATGTCAGTTTCGATAAATGCTTTGTGATTTCATTCAAAACAGAAACTGGGCAAAGGCATAGCAGCCGTTAACAGATTTTCTTCACTTACAAATGGCCATGGCAAAAGAGGGAGGGGGTTAGAGAAACTCAAGTTAATTCTTATGTGCTCCCAAATGCTTCCTGGGTAAAACATGATCTTTCCCTTCCAAATCTGTTGATTTTGCTATAAAGTCAATTAAAAAAACAAACAAACGATGAGTCCATGTTTGGGGGAGGGTAAAGTTGTCTTCCCTCCACTTAGGAAAGGAATTTCTACTTAGATATTTTATCATCAAAGAAACCTGGTGCACTTGGTCAGTGCATCTGGGAGGGCAGCCCTAGCTGAGCTTCACTGATCTCAAAAATTTAAGCAAAGGTGGACCTGATTACATAGGCGCTTTCAGTTAGCTCTACAATGACACCAAAATAATGAAATGGGCCTCATGATTTCACAAA